AAAAAGCCCCCTTTATCCTTGTCCGAAAGCAGAAGGAGGTGCTGTCCTGGTACGGACCATGGGCCAGGAATCCCAACGTCAAGGCTCCACCCCTCCCGCGACTGCAGCCTAGAAGCAAGGTCAAAGGAGGCAGGGGCATTGCAAAAATGTGGGACTATCGAGATGAGCATCCCGGTGCACAGTCTTAAAAGCTGTCCTCGCGCAAGCGGCTGGGACAGACCATGCACATACACCTCATGATTGATATCAGCCTGGAAACCAGCAGCCAGCAAAAGAGACTCCCTATTAAGGGCCTCGCTAGCCAAACTCGCAAAGAATGTCAAGTCCACGCGCTGACAATCAAACACCACAACTGGCCGCTCCACGGCCCACTCCGGAAGGGCGATGCATGCGATATAAGAAGGCGCGGGCTGAGGGACAACCGGTGCGAGGACAGGGTAGTGGAAGCGGCTATCCTGAGACCTAGCCTCCTGTATGTATGTCAGTGCCTGCTGCAAACTACAGGGCAAAGGCAAGGTGACCTGAAGAAGCTCGGGGGTTACATCGGGGACGTAAACAAGTGCCCGGACGGCAATAGCATCCTCCGTTTCGACAGCAACATCAGCAGTAGGCACATCGGGAGGAGCTGAGACCCTTAGTCGAGGCCCTCGATTACGATAGCCACTGCCACTGGCAATCACAGGAGGGGACTCAGCCTCGGTAGGGCCTGTTGGAGGTGCCTCACATGCAACAGGGTCTTCCCTAGCAACCGTCGTCTCCCCATATGCTGAAGTGCCCGTCCAAGAGTCACCCCATACATGACTATGCTGCGAGGATGCAGCAGGTCGGGCGGTTGAGGAACTCTCGCCGGCGTTCCAACTGTGTCCTGGCGGGAGCGTGGGGTCTTCCTGGGCATCAGGGGCAGGCTCGGGTGGGTCTTCCGCAGAGGAAGAGGAGCTGTCGGACGCGATCGGCTGAGCATAGAACAGGATAGTGGAGTTCGGCTCCACCCGAAGGCGGTCTCCTCTGCGTCGACCCCCTACCGTACCTAAAGTATATACCCCTGGTAGAATGATCCCAAAGTCAGACGCAACACTCGGGATATGCAGCAATGGGACATGCGTATGCACGACTCTTGGCTTGAGGCCGAGCGGGCGGAAGTCGCATAGAACGAAGATGTCTTCTCGTGGTGCCGCCCCAGGTTCATGTGCATCCTCCGGAAGGTCATGTACTGCCACAAGGAAAGTGCACAGCTCTCCCTGTACATCTAAGTCACAGATGGGGAAGGAGCAGAGGACAATACGCTTTGAGTCAAGGCGCAACAGGCCAGTGACGTGCTCAACAAGAGTCTCACCATAATGATGATACTGGCGTACACAATACCTGCGATCCTGGTACGTCACACATGTAGCCTCATGACGTTCAAAATCGAAGAAGTGGTGCAAAGGACACCATTCTGCCCCAGGCAGAAACATCGCCTCAGCACGATATCGGGCGATGATGGTCGATGCATCGCGCACCACGGTGACTACATCACCATCATGGAAATCAACAATGGCCTCGCGCGGCCAGGGCCTAGTTTTGAAGCCCACGAAGAAGAAAAGAGGCTCCTCCGCGTAGTGCGTAAGAGGACGCACAAAGCTTTCCAGTTGGTCCAGTGACAGAGCACTAGGCAACACCGTAGCGAAATAATGGCCCCCAACACGAGTTAGATCGAGCACGACAGCCGAAAAGCCTTCCTGCATCCCCCTTATGATGCTTGGGAATCGGATGACATACAAGTATCCGTAAAGTCGTTGCGGGCGTAGGGCTGTGACAGAGTCAAAAACGCCCTCCACGGCTCCAGGCGCACAGTCCCTAATGATATCCATGATCTTCTGTGAATCCTGCCTATCCTCTACATGCACCGTGATAGCAACAGGCTTGTAGTGAGGAGTATACACATACACCCCCAAACTATGAGAAGCACCAAGCGCAGCAACCTCAACCTCAGGCCAGGGGAGATCGCGAACGGTGAGGTGAGCGTTAGCCCTCCGAGGTCGATCATCATCCTTCCAGGGCAGTTCTACATCGCACCTACCAACATGAGAAACCTGCAGGTCGGGTGGTAGGTCATGCGGTCGTCGAGCAAAGGAAGAAGGCTCACCTGCGCTGAATGAACGGGTCATTGCATCACAGCCTAAAGGCATAGTTGCAAGCAGCTGCCACGGAACAGCCAACGGGCGAAGGCCAAAGGGGGAAGGCACGCAGGAGAAACCCAGAAGAGCCAACATAGCTCGACCCATGAATCGCCGCGGACCATAGCAGACCGTTCCCCTACAATGGTGCCGGCCACGGTGTCGCGAAGGGCCTGGCCGCCAATCCAACGCAACAAAGTGGGCGCTGGTGAACCCAAGGGAGCGGATGGCACAAGAAACGATGGAAGGTGAAGCAGGAGCCCGCCCCTGAGGCGGAGCAGGCAGATGACCTCTCACCAAACACATCTTGCATAAGGCCAAGCAGCAGCAAGCAAAGGCGCTGCGGAAGAAGGGGATAAGGCAACTGGCGAGCCAAATCAGCCAGTGGTGCACAGACCGCACGCCAGCCTGCTCGAAGTCACGCTCCAGGTCAACTGGGGAGATGAGGTCACTGTCCCTGAGCCACCGATACAGTTGTTGGGCACTCTCATCAACCCACGGCAAAAGAAGGCAGGGGTCGCCGAAATCAGGGCTGACCAGACCCGCACTAAGACAGGAAGGGGCTAGAGGACGAACCCCATCAGGCCACAAAGGGACAAACAAGAACCCATGTGGGCACCCCGGTGTAAGCAACGCGTAAGCAAAGGAGGCGGGTGTCCCAGAGCGACCGATACACCTCTTGCGCGCCCTCCTAATACAAAACTGCTGCGAAAGAAAACCAGGCCGGCTCATCACAAAAGAGGAGAAGATCGGCCCGTAGAAAAGAGCAGCGAAGTCAATGCAGCTGCCGTGGCGGGGGCTCACCCATGCTGTTACCAGAAACAAAGGAAACAGTAAGGTGGCCGAGGAAGAGGCTGCAGAGACAGCCGGCAAAGAAGGAGGCATGAAAAAGGAGCTATGGCGACAAATAATAGGGCTGCAAGCTACAGGTGAAACCACCTCACCATATAGTGCAGCCTTGGAGACAGGTGTAGGAGAGACTTGACCGAGGGGCATCAGACAAGAGCGAGATTCACAGTCCAAACCCCAGTGGACTGGAAACTCAAGCCCAGCCAGGCCCCGCAGCCGTCGAAATCCCACACTGTCCCCAAGGTCGCCAGGACTGAAGGAAGCCACATCACCTAGTCCGGATCCCCAGGGGCCTCCTCGTGAGCAGAAACATGATCTGAGTCCTCGTCGTCGTCCAAGATGGTGCCACGGGCCGTCTGGCCAGCGGTAGCCAAGGCACCGAGCCCGAACGGCCGCATTGCCATCCCCTGCAACTCCGCAGCACGACGCATGTCCAGCTTGTCTGCCAAGGAGGGTCCCGGCGGAACAGCTGACGGTATCGTCTTGGTGGCCTCCTTGATGTTGTCCCGCGGGGGTGCCTCCGAGGTCATGCGACGAGGTAGCCCAGGGTCGCGTTGCCCGGGGTGTTTGGGAGACTGTCGAACCGTGGCCGGCTCTGGTCCAGCTCCCTTGGGGAGAGCCGGGGCACTTGTAGCCAAAGGAGTACTGCTCAACCCAGGCGGTGTCTCCGGAACTGCTGCGAGGTACGGATCGGGCGGAAGACGGCCAGCATCCGGGGTCGCAGGAAAATGACTGGCCGATGGCGTCATGGGCTGCACCAAGCGGGCTCGGATAGGCGTGCACGGAGTTAACCCCGCTGCCCGAGCTTGTTCGAGAGCACGCTCCAGTACTCCACGATCGTCGGTCTCGTTCTCCGTCTCCCATGTCTGCCGGGCCTGTTCCCACTCCTGTTCCTCCTCGTCCATAGGAGCCAAACCACCTGCGGATGAAGGAGCGACGCTGAAAATCATTAAGCGTGCTTGTTCTTGCTGAGCTACGGCTTCGTCGATCTCTTTCTCCAGCCTCTCCACATTCTGCGCATACCGCTTCTTCTCTTGCAGGAAAGCTTGCTTCATCTTTTGATCGTAGGCTTTCCACTGGCTGTGCGCCTTCTCTTTCTGCGCAACGAGACGCTCGACCCGGGTCTCGGACTTCCGCGCAAGATTCAGGAGCTGCTGAAGCCCTTGCGTGGGGCCAATCCCAGCCGAGGACGGCCTGCCGCTCTTGCGTCGACGTCCTTGGCCTCGACTGGCATGGTATTGTAAGAGGGAAACTGCGCGGCACGGTTGTCCCTGACATGCTCCTTGCCTTGCTATCGCCAGGGCCTCTGTGCAGGTGAGTGAGCACCACGCCAAAGCTGACCCTGCCAACCAGGTGCACCATCGTTGCCGCCAGAATGCCTGGCCCTGCCGTTGCGGCCCATGCCGCTGCTCTGCAGTAACAGCCGTGTCTGCGAAGGCGGAGTCGCGTGATGCGACAACAGCCTGAACCGCTGGCGGAGCGTCGGAAGCCTGCCTGAGCGGAGAACTCGCCGAGCGCGGGACCTCAAGGATCTCGTATGGCGGTGCCACGGAGGCGAGTGCCGATTCTTCACGATTTGATCGTGGTCGGCCAACGCACCCTCTGGGTGCTGGGGCAATCAGTGTTCCTACTGCTCTGCTAGCAGGCAATCTGAGCCCTAATGTAGGGGCCTTAATAATTAGAATAGGGTGTTGGGGTTCCTTACTATTATCATTATTATTATACAGTGTACCCCCAAGTTCTTTTCTAATTATTAAGGCCCCAAAATGACGATTTAGGGTTTA